TTAATGTAATATTTCAGAAGCACCCCTACATTTAATAGGCTTTTGGAACTGGCCGCAGATAAACCTTTCACCTGACTGTCACTGCTATATAAAATGTTTGACTCATCAGACAGTTTATCCAGTTGCTTGATTCATTTTGGACAATGTTGTGTTCTACCCAATGTCTAACCAATGGATTCTTTGCTTCTTTGTTTATTTGCAAATGTTTAAAAGCAAATTAGATAAATAACATGTACAAATTTTAAAGAAAATGTGAGGCTTGTTCAAGTCCCCCATTTCAGTTCCATACAATATCATATAGAATGATAATTATTAAAACATATTAGCTATAATTATAAGTAAATCAATAAGATTTGTCTTACAGATCCTTCGGTGGTCCACTCTGTGAACTGTCACAAGAGTCAAAACGACAAAAGAGTTGTGATCAACGTAAGCGGGATCAAGTTCGAAACTTGGCGTACAAATCTGGACCAGCATCCGACAACGCTGTTGGGCAGCTGTGAGATAGACTACTTCTTCGACGAGAGAAACAACGAGTATTTTTTTGACCGGGACCCTCATCTCTTCAGGTACATCCTCAACTACTACAGTACAGGAGAACTTCATTTCCCCAAATACGAGTGTCACGTTGCCTTTGAGAACGAGCTGAAGTTCTACAGAATTGTACCTGACGTAATCCAAGACTGCTGCTTCGAGGAGTACCAAGACTACAAGGATGCCGAAAAGGAGACTCTCTACCCAGAGAGACATGCCAGCAAACCTAACAATAAAGAAAAGGAAGCGGAAACTGAGATGCAAAAGAAGAGAACTTTTCGGGAGAACCTGTGGCAGATGTTTGAAGATCCGGAAAAATCTGGCATGCCACAGATCGCTCCAGCTTTCAACTACATCATTGGATTTTTCGTGATGATATCCATTTTGGCCAACATCATCGAAACAGTGCCTGTACAAGAAACCGACGGAGCCAAAATTTCATCCACTCCAATGGGCGATAAGTATAACTTGATATTCACTTGTTTAGACACGGCTTGCGTTGCGATATTCACCGTGGAGTACGTGCTAAGGGTTTACGCTGCACCCAAGAGGGCGCAGTTTGTTTCCAGCGGCATGAGTATCATAGACCTGATAGCTATTCTACCTTTCTACATCGGCCTGTGCCTCACGGACACCGGCAATGTCAACGCGATCTTCGTGACGTTGAGAGTCTTCCGCGTTTTCAGAGTCCTGAAGTTTTCCCGCGACTCGACGGGGCTGCGACTCCTCGGCTACACGATACGGAACTGTATGAAGGAGCTGGGGTTCCTGGTGTTCTCCATGCTCATCGCCGTGGTGATATTCTCCACGTTTATGTTCTACATCGAGAAGGGCGTAGAGAACACGAAGTACACAAGTATACCAGCCACCTTCTGGTACACCATTGTTACAATGACTACACTCGGTTACGGCGACATGGTGCCAAAAACATGGCTGGGGAAGACCCTCACGGGTATATGCTCGCTCAGCGGTGTTCTACTGATCACCCTACCAGTGACAGTTATAGTCACAAACTTTAACCACGTTATACAGAAAGCCGAGAGAGAGAAGAAGCTAGAAACCATGGACAAACACATCTTTAACAGTAACACAGGTACTAGTAAGTTGTATAATGCACCGCTGTTACCAACGACACCTCATGTCTGACATGAGCTCATAAGAGAAAGGTAGCAAGACAATCTCTGGCAATTATTTCTTCATGTACATTGTATTTTACTTTGAGGGTTTTGCTGACCGAAGTAAGAAATATTATTGTAGTAAGGGCCTGTTGTTGTCTGCCAAGTTGATGAAAGTTTTCCCCCACGAAACACACATTGAAGGGTTGTATTCAGGCTTAAACCTATGGTAAACTTGTCAGAATGAATTCAAGCAAAACAATCTCTTCTCTGAGAACTTGTTAAACTTGCTTAATCAATATGTGCTCAAATGCTTCTTTCAACAGGGTTTCACTGACAGAACTTTGTATTACCAAACTGATTGCAACATGATTCTGACAAGATACTTACAAAATCAACAAAAATGGACGCCTCCTTTGCACACTTTTTGGAGAAAAGCGTCTGTTTCTTTTGTGCTGACACATGGTCTTTTATTACAAATTTTACGGGCTAATGTTCTCTAGTGCAGCCTAAGGGAGTTATGCCGCATAGGGAGTTACAGATGTACACCTCTCCAAAAAGTGGGCAATACACAGCTACGCAATCTGTGGACACAGCTCTTCCCCTTAATAGGGCCCAGGAGTCCCTTCCAAAAGAAACTGCCGCTCTAACCTTTAAAAGCAAACTGCTAGAAGTCTATACAGGAGGCTAAATACCCGTCATAATCTCGGCAATCTAAAGCAAAGGTGGGGGTCTCATAATGAACGTGCGTGACTCTCTTGTTCCTGGAGGCATCAAGGATTTACAATTAATTTTCGAAACCAAAGTCAGCCTACTGAGCCTAGGGAACTTTGACATTGTTGAATATTGAATTTAAGACACACATTAATCCAATGATCATTGTATAAACCCCAGTCTGGAGTACAGAGCAGCTTTAAAAAGTCCTCCCTGTACAAATACAGCCTTACTGGCAAAGGTTCAAAAACAATCATTAGAAGTACTTGTGGCACAACTCAATGTCTGACTCAGTACTATCCGTGGGCTTAACAAAATCAATCCTAATGAAACTTTATTGTGTACATTGTAAGCCCCACGGAGATACTAATATATTAACATGTTGATCCATGATGCTACCTGTAATTATAATATAAAGTGTTGCAATGTTTGAATATGGACCTAAAAATTAAACATTGAGCCAATAATTATCAAAAAAGGCACTGGTGCATGAAATTGGCAATTTAGCCGACAGAACCAGGAATTGTATGAATATACATGTATGTATGTCTGGAGATTTGGTGTAAAATATTGAAAGGATCAACATCTCTATACAATTTCTTAGAAAGCCTTGGAGAAATAAATTCTGCTGTCTATCTAAGCCAGGTTTAAAATTTTAATATGTGGTTTACACTATACATTTTCAGGAAAAGACAGACATAATCTTTCTTCAAATTGGAACAGTCTCCAACTTTAAGTCAACCAAATCATGTTAACTAAGGCAATGCATTTCTAGCCCTTTCTCATGATTTCCTCTTAATCTTATTTGCACATAGAAATAACAAAAAAGCATCTATAAAATTGAATGCTATAAAGTGTAAAACTGGTTAAAGTGAGACATCTCAAGTTTATAAAATTGTTCAATACAATGTACATATATATGACAATCAACTGTGAAATTCTACTCCACGTAACATTACATGTATGTATACATTTGTACATACATAATTACAAAGTATGTACATTTGTAGTGTGTCATTACTTAGGATCTTTGGAATTATATGCCTTGCAATTGTTGTACTGACTAGTTTTTACTACTCTTAACTAGGAAATTACAAACAAGGGTTACCGTTTGACGTTTGAAAGAATCCTGTAAAAAATGGAATACATGTACCAACTGTATTATGGAGGAATAATTATTGCATACTATCATTGATTGAAAGAGGACGTAATTGACCATGTATTGTATATGTACAACAAAGTCCTTTGTGTCTATATGTGTCTGATATGTACATGTAGTAAAATATGCTCCCAACATGTACTTTTGGAACCTACATATACCTGGTAACTACACGGAAGGGCCATTGATGATCACATTGTATGCTGTTGAAGCCTTGCCTAGTATATAATAGCTGATATGTACTAATCAAATTGGGACATCGTCTTCAAAGACTATACATAGTGCTTGGGTTAAATTTAGTGAAGGACCAAATATTCACTTAGTGGGGTTTGAACCGGTTTATAATTGGGCCTCTGTACTGTGCTAATACATTTGTACATGGACCAGATTTACACATGTAGAGATGCATAAGCATTTCTTGTTGTTCTTGTACTGGACATGTAAGCACCCACTGTATAATTATGTATGTTCTATGCATGCGTGTATAATTATTGTACAAACGTGTTAGGAGATTTCCTACGATGCCTTTTTAAATACATGTCATACATGTCAGTACAAATCAGGCTTGTACAATATTGTGTAACTCTTAGCTACATGTAAAAAAGATTTAGTGTGTCTTACATGTATATGTGTGCCTTAGAAATAAAAAGAACATAAAGGTATTGTCTTGATTTTTCAATTGTTTGCCTCTAAACAAAATATTGTAATGTAAAAAAAAAAAACAAGAAGAAAAGTCTTGCAAAAAAATCCTAATAGTAATACACAGTAAAAGATAGCATACCCACGTATATATATTTGTACACCGCTGCAATACCATATGACTTCAAAGCCACATAATTGAATTTGACCTTTGTCTTACCAACACAACCTACCTATCAAATATTATAGGCATAAAGATGCACCACATCCAACATTATAACCGGTTAAAAATAACCAACCACTATAACAGCCAACTAGCAGGTACATGTGGAACAGCTCAACAATGCCCCCTAGCAGGTGTTTGCTAAACTTCAACTACTAGTATATCTGCAGTTGGTGATAAAGCAAAGCACTGTGGGCAAGAGAAGCGGCAAATAAGAGTATTGTGGGTGTACATGTGATAGATGAAATTTTGAATGATAGTTGAGGTTTAGCTAATAATATCACAGTACATATTACAATGCTACAATAGAAAGGCAAATGCTTAATGTTTACCTTCGCAAATGGTCTGCTCTATTAATTCTTACTCAAACACATTCATATATGTGGTCAGACAGTCACAGGGGTCTAAATCCCTCCTGCTATGAAATTGCAGCATGATGTAACCCAAAACCAGTTACCATGGTGACAGACAAAACATTGATTCAGGTCAGAGGTCACTGTTTGGAGAAGAAGAAGAAGAAGAGGAGGAGGAAGAGGAAGAAGACACTGAGCAAAAACAATATGTTTTCCTTCGGTAACATATAATTACACTTAACTGCAAATAATGCTCTACACACCTGTAGTACAGCTGACTGGCCAAAAGGTCTGGTCATGGTGATGTTCATGTTGGGAAAATGGCGTTGTAGGTTGGCAACCACAGCATCTACATACCTGCAGATCACAGGACCTCACATTTTACATACACATACAGTACAGATCTAAAATAACTTCCCCTTGTACATTTGTACACAAGTGCAAATCGCAGTCAAAAGTCATGCAAATTTATGGATCAAAAGGATTTAAAACATTGCAGCAGAACTTCATATTATAACTTCATAAAACAATACTATTATCCTCCAATGTTGCCACTGACATATTCTGTACATAGTGCATACATATATTATGATTTTATTCACACATGTATGTTGTTCTGTTCAATCTTAGTTGTAGAACTAGGACTAGTAGGAGACCATACTTAAGTCCCTGTACTTTTGTCGAGTCAATAAAGAATCTAGTATGTACTATACTTGAAAATGGCAGGTTTAAAATTAACATTGTGTTGTGTGAGTAGAACTATTGCTTGGTGCGCAAAGTGGTAACTAATGCTTTAAGTTAAATCAACCTTTATCCGACTTGCTTAAAGTTAAATCAACCTTTATCCAACTGTCCTAAAGCAAGACTTTATCAACCCTGCACCATTATATCAACGTACAGTGGACCACATTCTGCACACTTTAAGTACTTAGTGATGCGCCCTGCACTGACAGTTTAAAAGCTTTGACTGTTCGTGTAGATGCTGTCTCGCGCGATAGCATCACAAAGTGGCTTTTCCACACATTACGGAGTCTGTGTGAGACACTATCGTTGCGCTTCCAGGTTTGAGATGTGGAATCGCGTCTCACAGTGCGGTTGATCACTATTTCTATGCCGAGGATGGCATTATGAGTGATGGGAGCATTCAGGAATTGACACTGATCTGGTAACTTTATGAACTCTATCTATGTAAGTAGGTTAAAAAGTTCACTGAACTGTTGGAAGGAATTGACAATGCAAGTTGTAATACATCTTATGATTTTTTTTTTGTATCATGATGACATGTACAAAATACAGACAAGTGTTTAAAGGCAAAACTAAAGCTCTGGATGAGGAAATCTGTTTGATATTGACATTTACTGCCATTTCTGAGCACATATCTACCTTCATTTCATACTTTAAACATTTGAAATAGCCCCAAAACAAGCTAATTTTTTTGGTACCACTCATAAATAGCTAGAAGTAGAACCAGCATATCAAACAAAACCAGCGATCACCATAAGCAACATTTCACTTCAATTTTTTTCACACATATCATTATGTTATATGGGATATGATCAAATGAACTTACTACACTAAAAGAATGGCCAGAAAATTGACTTTTAAAATCCAGTTTTGCTGCTTTGATTTGAAATTCCATTAATTGGGTGCCTTTAACCTTCTTCCTGCCTTTTGTGCCAAATGACTTTAACTTTTAAGCATGCTGAAGGGTAAAGTATTTGCATTGATAAGTATTGACATTGTCATGAGAACAGATATACATGTAATGGGACTTACTGTCCTGGCAGGGCGTGGCTGGTAGACTGGGGTTTGCGACGTTTGGTGGACAGTCCAGTCATCATGGACGAGCGCTTCAGGGAGTTCTGGTTCAGGAGCTGGGCTGTGTAACCTGCATGTTCATGTACCTGTAGGGATGACATGCAGGGCTCGAAATTAAAGGTGTCCCGATGGCCACTCACCACTAAAATTTTGGCCGGGACAACTATAACTTTGGGACAACTTTGGGACATTTTGGGGACAACAGAAAAATAATCAACCACAGAATGTCAGCCCTTCTTTTGTTCACCAGGAACACATCCTGGCTTTTGGCTTCGTAAAAGTCCCCTCAAATTTCCTATTTTTGTCATACAAAAGTCAAACAATACTTTCGAAAAGCAGGTCGGGACAGTTGAAATTGATATAGGGACAGTGCTGGGACAATATTAAGAAAAGTTAATTTCAAGGCCTGACATAGTTCTGTAGAAATGACATGGTTCTGCAGGAATGACATGGTTCTGCAGGAATCACATGGTTCTGTAGGAATCACTTGGTTGTGCAATTATGCCATGGTTTTAGGAATGAGGTGATTTTGTAGGAATGACATGGTTCTGCAGAAATGACAATCTGTAGGAATGACATGGTTCTGTAGGAATGACATGGTTCTGTAGGAATGACATGGTTCTGTAATCATTCCATGGTTCTGTAAGAATGAGGTTGTTCTGTAGGAATGACATGGTTTTGAAAGAATGACATGGTTCTATTGGAAATTGACAATATTGGTTCTGTAGGAATGACATGGTTCTGTAGGAATGACATGTTTTTGTTTCAGCTGAACTCTGCTAACCTACACTGTACATTCAGCATGCCATGAGACAAATATTTGATGACTGCCTTCAGGGGCTACAAATATCTGAGACAGCCAAATCCTGTACAACCATTAGCCTAATCCTTATATACATCAAATTTGGCACAGATCAGATAATCTACAATTTTATCATGCTAAAGTACTATATGTACACAATTGGGAGGGGAGTCTTTATAAGTGTGGAGTCGTTTAAAATACGCTCAAGCTGGAATCAGGACTGTTAAGTGGTGCCCCCTAGCATTACAAAGCTGTACTGCATGACTGAGTGTCCCAAGACTACAAACTAACACCCTACATGTCTATGGCATACATGTACATTATATAGCAAAAAACTGTACTGTGGGTAAGTGTTTACATGTTAAACTACACTGGGGGCACAGAGGGCTACTTAGCTTACAAACTGCACCCTATGGTATAGATGTACATTATAGGGCCAAAAATTATACTATGGGGTACACTGGCGTATATGTTAAAGTACACCTGAGACACAATGGGCTACAAACTACACTCTAGAGTAACGTATAACAATTATTATATTTCCAAAAACTGTATCTTTGGCTGTATGTCATGTAGTATTCCTAATTCTACAGTGGCATGCTGGGAAAAATTAAAGAAAGAACAATTTTTCATTATATACTACATGTAGTACATCAAGATCTACAGAAATTCGATGAATTATGTATATTGGAGCAGGTATGCAGAAAAAAGTTTTTTTCAAGCACTGATATTATACAAACTTAGTTCTGGTCATGTAGTCTCAACTCTACTTTTAATTTCTAAATTGCAACTTCCTTATTTTTTATTATTTACACTAGTAACTGATTTCAGTCAAATTTTTCATCAATTCTCATCGAAGTCTCTTGCAAAACCGAGGTGGTTTCAAAACATCCAAGCTGCCCTGTAACATGTATCAGTACAGTTCCAGCCAGACTTACTTAAATATTAGTGATTCCATCATCACTGGGATTGATTTTGACCCGGGGGTCACTAAAGCAAGATGAAGAAATGAATACTTCAGCATGCGTGGCGTCTCGAGGGAGACCAAAGTTCCGCGCACGCTAACTACGCCGATAAATCACACAAAGCTTCAATGGCGGCACCATCCTTTCGGTACAGGTAACTCCATAGTAGTTACATGTATGGCTTTGACAGAAGGTTAATGGGCCGTTGGGTGGTTCACCTCAACTCATCAGCCAATGTCTGGCTGTTAGGCAAGGAATATGACCGCATCAGACTCAATTTTAGATTGATGAAGGTTAGGTCAGGATATGAAGACCTCCTATAACTACGGTAAAGAAACGGGGACTGAAGTGGTATGGCCGCATGTCATGGTCATCGGGACTAGCCAAAAGCATCATGCAAGGAACAGACCAGGGTGAAAGAAAGAAAGAAAGAGAGGTAGGCAATGGATTCTGAAATATAAATAAAAACACTGTTGAGAAATGGAAAGAAGTGATATGGCCACGTGTCATGGTCATTGGGACTAGCCAAAACCATCATGCAAGGAACAGTACAGGGAGGAAGACAGAGTCCAACACTGAACAGAGACGGGGAGCGTCATAGGTTATCTGCCACGTATGACCCTCTGCTGCAACCACGTGTTTCCGACGTCACGTCCCGGAAGCTGCAGTAGAAGGGTCCATTCCGTGAACAAGGCTGACGGAGTCAGTCGAAAATTTGGGGTAAGTCCCAATTTACTTGGTGTTGGTTACGTAAAGGTTAACTGTTGTCATAAAGAACAATACATTAAGACGTACATTGTATTCACACTGACGTTTCTTGAGCATGACTTGGTAAGCAGTGGATCTAGTGATCATGAAGTCCAATTTCTTGTGTTGGAATTTACAGTTCATCATGAAGTCCAATTTCTTGTGTTGGAAATTACAGTTCAAATCTGTTTCATAACTCTTTGATATTATTTTAAAATTTTTGTAGAATATCTACAATACCCCATCATTTAGCATGGCCCATAGGACATGAAAAAGGTCACCCATGTGTGTGTGTAATCTGATGTTCAAGTTGGCATCATTAGTAAAGGTATTTACTTCCTTGTGACCAAGCAATGATCATGTCAGCCAAACTAACATGGCTACAGAGAGATCCTAACTCTCACGTTTAGTTTGAATGCGTGTAGTGAAGTATGTAATGTGGAATAATGACTTAAAATCAAAGGAATAAAAGTTCTTTTCATCATTGTGCATGTATTTCAAGCCCTTGAGATCTAGAATTGGTGATCTGTGAAACCCAAGTTCTTGCTGTAGTTTGAGTAAGTACAAAGAAAGTTTTTTTAAGCCAAGGTTGCTTGTTGGGTTGACTAACCAAAGGCATCCTCATGCTATAGTCTAATAGATAGCTTTAAACAGCAGTTACAGTTAAAGTTAAGCTGGCAAGGTAGTGTGATTTGGACCCCCCACACTGTCTTTCAACCAGCGTAGGGGTGTTTCTTTGGGGTGTGAACTTCTCCCCCTTGACTTGACTTTATTAGGATCCACCTTTATCATACAAACTGTAGCTATTCTTCCTGTGTTCCATTCTGACATGTACACACATATGACACACAGGGAATATATCAAACATAAACTAACAGTAGCAAAAATACTAACAGTAACACACAGCGGAGATCTATATACATCAATACAAAGATTCTATACATCATTACAACTTCATCTCATTCCAGGCACTAGCCATCCTGTACAAAAATCTCTTTTTCTGTCTAGAGCCCTGAGACACACACACACAAACAAACAAACAAAAGGATTGATAACACTTCCCTACTATATATAAATAATATTACTATAGTATAAATAAAACCTTAGAACCTCACCTTGTTGGACCACTTGTAAGACTGCAGCAGTTGTCCGTACAGTGGAGTTTTGTCCTGTACAGGGTCCAGGCTCAGCAGACCACTGCTGCCGGTGGGTAACTGGTCACTCTGCTTGGTCACTGCAGTACTCAGCTTCTCTAACTCACTGGTACAGGGGGGAGGACAAACATCCGGGGGTCAAAATATTTTTACTGCATACTACATGTACATGTACCTTCACTGGGGCATGTAACATACATTTATCTATATAGGTGTACAAAAATTACTGTACCAGACAAATTTTACCTACAACATGCATATGCTGGTGGAATTTGGACATATTTTGAGCCCCGACCATACACTGTACTTACCGAATTCTAGCGAGTATCTGTATCTGTATAGCCAGTATAACCGCCCTTCGGCGTAACACACCAGCTTCTTTATCTGTATAGCCAGTATAACCGCCCTTCGGCGTAACACACCAGCTTCTGTATCTGTATAGCCGGTATAACCGCCCTTCGGCGTAACATACCCAGCTTTGCAGGAATGCTGTGTGACGGCAGATGGCTACATTATACACCAAACAACTTGTTACACCTAACCCTTGAACATCTAACTCTAGACATTGTTTAAAGCTATCTAATGACAATGCCCCTACTGTACTTGGTGACAGCAAGTTCCACTCTGCGATAGTTCTGGGAAAGAATTTCGCCAAAGCCTTCGATAAGGTTCCTCATAACCGTCTTCTCTTAAAACTACATATAATTACGGTATCCGAGGCAAACTCCTCCAGTGGATTTCTAACTTCCTAAAAAAACGTAAACAAAGGGTGGTAGTTGGGGGAGAACATTCAGATTGGGCAGAAGTAGTTTCTGGAGTACCCCAAGGCACCGTACTAGGGCCTTTATTGTTCCTAGTATACATAAATGATCTGGCTGATAACCTTAACTCTAACATCAGGCTTTTCGCTGACGACTGTGTCATTTACAGAGAAATAAATAATGACAATGACCATATCCTACTACAAGATGATATAAACATGTTAGACGCATGGCAGAGCAATTGGCAAATGGAACTACACCCTGATAAGTGCTACGTCATGCGCTACACCCATAAACGCATTTAACTAAAGTATTTGACTACAAACTAGGGAGCCATACACTAGCTGAGGCTAATAATCACAAGTACCTAGGGGTTATCTTAAACAACAAACTTTCTTGGACTGAACACATCCATCATATTACTTCCAAAGCAAATAAATCATTAGGTTTTATTAAACGCAATCTCTATAGCTGTCCTAAATCAGTTAAGATGAATGCATACACTAGTTTAGTCAGACCCCATCTTGAATACGCTAGCGCTGCATGGGATCCGTACTACAAGGAACATATTCACAAGTTAGAATCGGTCCAGAAAAGAGCGGCCAGATTTGTTTCTAATACCTATGATACTTATGCCAGCACTACCAAATTGGTCACAGATTTAGGGTGGGACACATTAAAGGACAGACGCACAGCAAGTAGACTCACATTACTTCAGAAAGCAAGACACTCAAAAACAGCCCTTCCGGTCAAAACCTTGTTGACGCCTATCCCGCGCCAATCGCGACACTTCAACTCCAACTCATACAAACCTCTAACGTTTCACAAAGACTGCTACAAATATTCATATTTTCCACAAACTGTCAGAGATTGGAACATTTTGCCCCAAGAGATAACTGATACTGCGGAACCCACGAAGTTCAACGCTGCAGTACTACAACACCTGAGGAAGCAGCAATAACGCATCGCACAGCTCCTCTGCACGTTTTACCCCAATCTAGGGGTGTTGTGCAGTACCCGAACAAGACAAGACAAGACAAAGAATGAATTTTTTAACACCTCCATCATTGGTTGATAACTCTGGTACTTCAAGTTCAAGGCATGACTACTTCTTGTTCTTTTATGAGTTGGTAATAGGTACTTACTAACTATGTTATTTCAGTTTGACCCTGGTTTGACAGTTTGCTATAATATATACTCCGTCTGGCTGCCAATACATAATTTGTATATGTCAATACTAGTAACATAACAGTTAATCATCTGTCATCACAGTGCAGCTACCATAATTTACAAGTGACATTAACATTGCTTACCGGAAAAGTGACAGCGTGAACGTTAAAATTGAGTCCACCCTTTTAATTCGGTGGGTGCACGTAAATGTCACATGCACGCTTGCTGCTGTACACATGTAAACAAAGCATACTGCCCCCCTCCCCACAACTCACTCATATTCCTTGTTCACGGCCAACAGGTTCTCTCTCAGCTGGTCCAAGAAGGCCTTAGATCTCTCCCCAGCGGTCTCCCCGCCTTCCATGCCATCCCGGAGCTGTGAGAAGACCCTGCCGACGCTGCCACGGAGCCGCTGCGTGGTCTGGATAGCCTTGGAGATGGTTTTGAGATTTCCCTCGACGTCAGCCATCTTTGTTTTTCCCGTGGTGCATCTGGCGGGCGGGAACTTCAAACTTTTCACCCTTTTCTTTTCGTTGGCTGATTGGTCAACAATCAAAACTTGAAATCAAAGGTGATCCAATGGCCACAGTCCACTAAAATTTAGGCTGGGACAGCTAAAAAGACACTTTGGGACATTTTGGGGACAATAGAAAAATAATCAACATCGGAATGTCAACCCTTCTTCAGGCACACGTCCCCCAAATTTCCTGTCTACTGTGCAATCATAGTCGCCTGGGAGTGAACATAAGCAAAATAAAGTTGACTTCAAGTTGAAGACATACAATATCTCCCAAAGAAGTGGCATTAGATCGAACTGTCCATCCCATCCACTGGGCCAGCCGTTTCAAGTATGGTTTCTACAAAAGTCTTTTATACGCTTTTCCTAAAACATGATCGTAATCATAATATATACATTTATCACATATTCTTTGTCCAAAGTAACACAAAAAGGCTAATATTAGTAAAAGCTCAAATTAGGAGTCAACGATAGACGATCATACCGATCGTAGCTATGTAGGTCAGTTGAAAAATTTTGGAAAGAGGTCATACATGTACATGAAAACAACATACATTTTTACTATCATATCTTTATGGCGTCTTTATGCACACAGAACCTCGTAACTTGTTCGTAAATACCATTCTCTAACGATTCCCAATCGCCCGCAGGTAGACATGTGCTCTAAATGAAGACGTTGTTATTCTGAAAAGGCCGAAATCTGATGGAGAACGCACAGTCCGTAATAAAGTTTGGCCCACAGGAACCAAAGTTGCTCCTGGTCACTCCAGTTCAATAATCCTCCCGATAAATCCTGCGTCTAACGAGACAGGGGTGTTCGGAAATGTCAGCAGGCAGGTCCTGGGCAGTGACATATTTCACGCTTTTACTGTGTAAGGATTCGTCAAATAAGGAACCAGGAGAAAGTCTAAACAAGTGTCCATAGGCGACAATTCTCCGCGAAGTAGCATTGACCACGAAAACAGCTACGGCAAAATAAAAATACGTGCATCATCAAGGGCATGCCTGCAGACGATGTATAAAATAACATGCCGATTAAACAAGGGGAACCGTGTGTTCTAGCTGCGAACACGAAAAAACGACTGCCCACAATACTCCGTCCGGAATCCGGAGGTCATGACCTCCTTCACAGAGTAATTAGGAAAATTGATACTTTCATTGCAAATTCCTGCCCGAAGGCTAATTGCAAATAACAAAGATAAAAGAACATTGAGACAGAGTACAAAATAACTTCAAAATCTACATAATAAAACGAGATAATTGTCTAAAACTATAGCTATGTATAGAACTATGTCTGAAGGGTTTGAATTCTCTTTTGTAGACGATGGAAGACGTATGCCCCACTTTTTCCAGAATTTGTGGACTTCGGGTAGTTAAAAGAAGAATAGTTTTTTCTTTGTCTGTAAGTTTAGAGAAATTGTTAAGTGATAATGCTAGCTACATGATTCTAAACAGGAAATCGGAAATTTCAGACTTCCAGGAAGTGTTTTGGTGTTAAATCTATTGGAATTGCATTGAATGATCATTGGGAAATACCCGATTGAATTACATCATAGAATTGATTAATATTCATACGATTGTATGGCGTAACTTGCTTTGTACGGTTTATGTTTCATACCATTTCACACTCCTGCCGACATCATACATGTACACAATCCTACCAGTCAGGGCATGGACCGTGTCAGAACCCTGTCAATCAACAGAAACCAAATCTTTGCCCACCCTTTTCCGATCCTTGAGGGCGAAGTACATACAAGCCCTCTTTTTATTTGTGTTTATGAACTGAGCATATTAGTTGTTGATAACCACAGGGCCATACAAACAACATGTACAACAACATGCGTTGAATATCTAGTTTACACTAGAATAGGCAATAATAATACAAAATAATAATAAAATTTATTTAAAGTTCAAGTGCCTTTTCGGTTATATAATAAATTCATTATTGTCTTGAAATTGTTGGACTTGTTTTTTTATTATCATGCTTTACTAGTATCTATATCTATAAACTATATTGTAGAACTGCATCTGTATCTGTATAAACTTCGCTGAGTGATGCTTTAGTACATGATCCATGTTGATTTCATTTCACAAAAGAATCGGTCCGTAAAATTTGGAATCTTCGATCATGATATAAGACTAAAGATTACAGTAAACAGACATTTCTATTTCAGGCGATTCATCAGCAAATCCCATGTGTAAGCTAGGCCTGTTCACGTGTAGTGTAAAGCACAATGTTTTCTTAGTTATTTGGATATGGTTGGGCGAATGTCTCACGCCCCAATGCACTGATAGGGTAATTATGTTACACATATTTGTGGTGATGACCCCCAAGAGAGAGGTGAGATTTGCATGTTTATTAAAGTTGACACATATTGGACTATCGGCGTGAAATGCGTGCATGGTTGACCTACTGTGGAAAAATTGTGCTAGCCTGGGTGTCAGGCGTAGGCCCGACTTACACGCTCTACTGTGTAAGGATCGTCAAGTGGAGACAGGAGGATTATTCTAAATCAATATGTTATCTTTAGCTTCTTGGAACAAGAAATAAGAGATTTCGGAGTTCTAGGAGCAATTTTTGTAGATTTTGTGAACGCATTGGAACTGTATTGGATGATCATCATTCAGGGGAAATACATCATAGAATAGATTGTTACTCAAACGATTGTAGAACGTAACCTACTCCGAAATACATACAAAATGTTTCTTAAAGTTTCAATATCTACAAAGCTTAATACGCTATCTTAATCGCTTGCCCAGTTATTTCCAAACTAGGTCTTTTTGAGTGAAGAAAAAATAAACAAATCATATTAAGAATATTCACAAATAATGCTTATCATATGTGTTTCGCTGTCTTCTTTCTGTCATAGTTTCCTTCCCGCAAACTTCCCGGCCGGGCCCCGTTTGGGAATTGTAACATTTGCATATTAAGAGAATGATTAAAAACTGGCATTCACCCAGCATCTCGAAATGGGCCACGTAGAGATGATTGAAATCATGCACCTCTTGACATCTCTGCTAAGTTTTACGTATCATTTGTTGAAGCATCAAAAATCTCTGTGGACCCCATTGACATAATGATGGCGCCAAACAGTATGAGGGTTGGAGAGTGTCAAACCTCTCTGGTTATCTTTCAACGGTACTTGTAACTGATGGATAACATGAGCTTCAAGTGAAAACTTAACGATGATGAAAGCCCGGGTCGTTGAATAAAAGTAGACGTATTTATCTAGTTTGTTTTCTGTACTTGATTAGTCTGTTCCGTTTCTTATATTATAACTACCCTTTGCTTGTACTTAAGTTACCTTTTATTATGTTAGATATGTCACAGGGAGCTTTGAAAGGCGCCAACATGTTGATATGCTAACCCTATATAGATAAATAAAAACAAACAAACAAACAAACTAAATTATGTTTACCAGTGAGGCCACTAGAAAGTCGGTGTCCAACGCCTCTAAGTCAGAACATTTTGATACTGTTGATCTGTGAATATAGTAGTATGCTAACATGTCAATTTCTACTCTTACCTAGTTGGAGGTTGTGATAACTGGTTTGTTTATTATGGTAAAAGCGAATCCTAATCTACTATTGGATTGATTTTGCATAGTGATAAAGAATCCTGAGCTCCTATTGGTAGTTCTGGGATTAGGAATGATTTTCCTGACTAATGCTTCCAAACCGGGGCCCGACTGGGCTGTTTCGATTAACGAAAAATTATTAACTCATATCAATAATATACGCAAAGAGTTCCAATTATTAATTTTTGTCACATTTTTTGTGCTTTGTTGACTTTTGTATCATACTTTTCGTTAAAAAAGACTGTCCGGCCGGGCCCAGTTTTGGAAATGTGACCCCGGCATAAAAGGTGTATGGCCACAAGCTCTTGAGAAGACGGTTTTGTAAGACCTCCCGAGGTTAAAAGCAACCTTGCAGATACATGTACATTATTTGTATCTGCAAAATGCGTATACAAGGTCCTTTTTCCTCTCCAAACTGAACACTGCTGCGAGGAATACACGAAAATGATATCATCTTGATCTAACGTCTCCATATTGTCGCCTAGTTCAAAGGAGTCCTGCCATATTCTCTGAATCTCAAAGATGACACGTAGAATCGATATTTTTTCGAGTAAGAAGGCCATTCTGTTTTGTGTCACCGTGCTCTTTCTTTGCCACTGGCGACAGGAAACTTCCAGAAGGCATTCGACATCCCGTCTTTGTTCAGTAATAAAACACTCCTTCACAAAGTCAGTGTTTACGTCAGCCGTACCCTAGGTCTCGTCCAAGATTACAAGACAAAGTTCTGCACGTCACGACTTTGAAGGGGGTTCAGTACCCTTCTCATGATAACCTTTCGGACTGACGAGACTTTTTCGAAACACAATGCGACAGACTTACTCATCACAGTAAGTTACTTTAAATGTCAGTCCCTTATGATCTCTTCCAGCCAAATTCAATTTACGTCCAAACCTCACCCTGCTAGTTAGCCTCAAGGAGGTTGCTACGCCCCCGAAATCCTAACATCATGGTGAAGACGTGTGGGGGGACAGAGAATACTTCATAAAGCTATTCATCACTTTCATATCCGGTGAGTGGTTACAGCCAGAAGACTGCGAGCTACTGTTGGCGACGGCCCTATTGGTCTCTGGATACCTCACTGGCGCCGGGCGCCCTCACAAAAACATCGAACCTAAATGGGTTATTTCATGTTATGTATATAAGTCTGACCGTGCAATGTATCTTGAAAGGGAGGTCTAGGTTACATTGTCTGAAAAGGGGAGACGCGTTTTCTTTCTTGCACAAAGATAATTTTTGTCCCCAGGTTACTGTGTGGCATAGTGGTATGATTGAAGCAGAAGCTGGTTTGCACTTAATTTTTGGGAGTCTTTCACTTTTGAAACTAGTTGATTACCTTCGCCAAGGTTATGTTTTTGGTAGCGTTTGTATGTATGCGTGTATG